CTACATTCCATGGGTCCCAAAGAGTCAGACATGACTTAGCAACTAAACAAACCAACCCATGACCAGCTTCCTGGGTTGGTCTCCCCCCCGCCCATATCTTTCTTACTCTCCAGAATTAATCACCATTCTGATTTTTTTCTATCATTTATTCCTCCAGGAAGAGTTTGCATAAACATGAACTGCACCACGCATCTTTCCAGTTTACGGTTCGGAGAAGCCCAATGCTCGCACGGACCCTTCCCTTGCTGAGCGTCCGTGTCTCTTGTTCCTTGGTTTTTTCATCACTTTCTCTCCTGGATTCTTCCCCATCTACTCCTACATGGACTCATATATTCCCTGATCTTCGAAAACAAAAGCAAACCCAAAACGGCCCTTCTGGCTGCATAGTAATGGCATCAAAGGACAGTCTACCACCTTCCCTCCACCATTCACTTTCTTGTAAAAATACTTCTCACTTCTACCTCCACATCTCCATGACCCACTGCTTAGTCTTTTATATGCTGTTTGCCACTGACCAGCAAGCCGGACGCCCCAGCCGCCAGCCCCCCAGTCAAGACGGGTCAGTCTCTTCTTGGGTGCTCCCCCCACTGAAGCCGGGGACCGAGAAGTCTCCGCTGGCCTTGGCGGGGGGGGGGGGGGGGCCTTCCTGCCCACACAGCCGCAATCACTTGAACCTAGGGATCTTTAACTGAATCACAACCACCTGGAAGGCTTGTTAAACCACTGGGTTCCACCCCCAGTTTCTATAAATAGTTGCTGAAGGCACCTATTCTATCCTTCACATGCTCAACATCATGCCTAATGGAGAAAATTATTTTTCAGGATTTAGTCCTGCAGAAAACTTTTCATCTGTGAGAGCGGTCATATTCTGCACCCCCTCACACCGCAGCCTCTGCCTCCTCTCCTGGTTCTTTTTCCTCCCAACTGAATTCTAAGCACTCTTCTCTTTCACAACAAGCCATCTAGGCTGACAAGTGTGTGGCCCACCGACCAGCAATAGCAGAAGTTTGTTAGAAATGCAGAGATCCAGGCCTCAGCCTGAACGCACTGAACCAGAACCTGCGTTTTAACAAAATCCCCAGTAACCGTAACTAGAAGCACTTCTCTAGGATGAAAACTGCCCTAAAACAACGTCCACAGTCTGCATGGGGGTCTTCCCGGGTGACTCATGGTAAAGAATCCGCCTGCCAAAGCAGGAGACACAGGTTCCATCCCTGGGACGGGAAGATCCCCTGGCGAAGGAAATGGCAACCCGCTCCAGTGTTCTTACCTGGAGAATCCCATGGACGGAGGAGCCTGGTGGGCTACAGTCCATGGGGTCGCAAAGAGTCTGCCATGACTCAGCAACCCGGGAAGCAGGGGCTCGACCTGCCCCGGGCTCACGGGGACCCGGGAAGCAGGGGCTCAGACTGCCCCGGGCTCACGGGGACCCGGGGAGCAGGGGCTCGACCTGCCCCGGGCTCACGGGGACCCGGGGAGCAGGGGCTCAAGTGCAGACCGCGCCTCCATGCCAGGACCTGGGCCCCTAAGCCCCGCCGCCTCCCAGGACGCAGAGCAGGTCGCTGCCAGGCAGGCACTCCCAGACCACCTTGGCTGCCGGCTCCCGACCTCAGGCGGCCCCACCTCCCCTGGGAGGTGGCAGCACCGGGGATTTGGCTGCCCCTCTGGCCCCGGGGAAAAAAGGTCCCAACTCACCTTCCCAACTGCCCAGGGCACGTGTGCACGTTGGCAACTCCAAGGGTTCAAAGCCAGCCTCCTGAACTTCTCCTCCCCTCCCCGCAGGATAAGCCGCCTTTGTTAGCCATTCTACAGGCTTCCTGGGTGGGGGGAGGGTGGTGCTCTTGAGAGGGGGTCGCAGAGTCTAGCGCAAGCAGGACCCCAAACTATGCACATGAGGAGGGGGGCGGGCTAGCTGGACCCCCGCCCCATCTGATGGTGAGCGGCTACAGGTGCGACTGGAATGTCTCTGTTGCCAAACTGTGGATCTTCACGTGAGATCTCGATTTTATTGTAGCAAGCAACGTTGAAGAAAAAAAAATTTTAACTGAGAAACAAATGCTGTTGTAGGCTGTCCTCAGCCACGTTCTCTCTGGCTCCTTCACCTCCCCAGCCACTGTCAAGGCTGGCAGCCCTCACCTTCTCTCCAGGTCCGGCTTCCTGGTCTTCCCCTGCCAACTGGATCCACATACCAGAGAAAGTGCAGTAACATCCAGTAACCCTTCCTCCATGACTGTCAGAAAACCACCGAACAACTGCCCAATTATTCTAAAACCCCGTTCCCATCATATATACCACCTTTCTGTTCAAAGCCCCTCGGAGACTGCCCCTGGCTTCCAGCTGTCAGAACTCTATCAAATGACGCCCCTCTCCAGCAGCCCTGAACTCCCCATCACCCCGAGTCAGGGTTTTGAGTAGAGCTCTTATCGCTTGGACAAGCCTACTGGTGGCTGTGGACACAGAAAGAAATGGACAGGCTTGAGACGTATTTGAAAACTAAAGTCAGCAGCACAAGCTCCTGACGCACACTGTAGACAAAATGACCTGTTCTTTGGTTCCTATCAAGGCCTGGATAGGATGTAGCATATTGTGCGTGAGTTTGCAAACTGGCAGCCTGCTGGTCCATTTTATTCCACAAATATCTTTTGTTTAGCCTGCATTGCTTTTAAAAAAAAAAAAAAGCTGCATTTTCTAAAAATAGTGACTGTACATAAAAATCAGGATTCCTGTCAAAAGGAGGACAGTGGCGGGCGGGCGGGGGTTTGTGGGAGGGAGGCTCAGAAGGGGGACACGTGCATACACACAACTGACTCACTTCATTGCAAGCAGAAACTAACATTGTCACAGGACTACACTCCAACTTAAAACAAAAAGGTGAGCAGTGACAGTTCAGGTCGACAGGTCTACGGTGGTGGGAGGGCTCAGTGCGAGATGCGGTGCGTTCCGTCTGCAGCCTTCACCGGCCCAGCGAGGTTACTGATAAAAACAAGAAAGCTGAGGGACCCTTGGTGAACTTAAATGGGACTTCAATGAACTTAAAATGCGAGTCACATATTTCGCTGTCCTTTATAAATTTACTTCACAGGTAAACTTTAAAGACAAGGTAGAAAGTTAGCAATACTGTGTCCCTCTTCCTCCACACCATGAAATCTTTGTTTTCTTGCGTTAGGCTTATTTGCTAACGCGCTGACAAAATTCTCAATCCTGGCCGGTTACACGATTCCGTTTCTGGCATGGCAGTCAGCTGAGCCTTCGCTGTCAAAACTTCTCAACGGTTCGGTTTCAGCCAGCCTCCGCCGGGTCTTCCAAGAGGCCCACCAGACCCATCCATCCGTCTCCCCGCGGGCCCTGTAACAGACCAACCTCTAAGGACCACCTCTGGATTGCGGCTGCGTTTGGCCGACGGTGGGCACCCGCTGGGTTCTGCAGGGAGTGTGAGGTCAGGGTCCGGTCCACACTCGTCACTGCGGGGAGGTCGCGGGCCAGCTGCGCTGCTCGTAAACCAAGGCAGCCCTGCCCCGGTCCCCGAGTGGAGGGGGTGGCCGCCCCTCCCTGAGGCCCGTGGGTACACACACCCCTGGGGCTTACCCTCCAGCCTTGGAACCAGGCCCAAAGCTTCTCCAACTTCTCCAATTGGAGAGAGAGTGAGAGTGCTGGTTGCTCAGTCGTGTCTGACTCTTTGTGCCCCGTGGGCAGTAGCCTACCAGGCTCCTCCATGGGATTCTCCAGGCAAGAGTACTGGAATGGGCTACCATTTCCTTCTTCAGGGGATCTTCCCAACCTGGGGATTGAAGCCAGGTCTCCCGCACTACAGGCAGATTCTTTACCAGCTGAGCCACAAGGGAAGCTCTTTCTAGCTTGAGGGTGTCACCTATTTCCTGGTACATTTCCAAGTCTCACGCTTGCAACCAAGTGCACAGAAGAAACACTATCCTTGTGACAGTCGTTTTCTAGGATTTGAATATACTGCTTGAGAAAATTTGCAGCGACTCAGAAGTATGCCTTTAGGTCATGAAGCACTTTCGAGTCACACATTCTACCTTCTGGCTTCCTTGATGCCTCAGACAACCAAGAAGCTGCCTGCAGTGCAGGAGACCCGCGCTTGATCTGGAGGCCAGGAAAACCCCCTGCAGAAGAGAATGGCTACGCATCCAGGATTCCTGCCTGGAACATCCCAGGGACAGAGGCGCCTGGCGGGCTGCAGTCCGTGAGGCTGCAGTCAGACCGGACTGAGTGACTGACACACACACTCTCTACCTTTCAGGCTGAACTGTTTTAAACATTTAACCAAAAAATACATACGCAGTGTTTAGCCTTGAGAATTAAAAAATGACATTTCCTCTAAAACTCTGGACAGTTAATCTTGGACATCTCATTTTTGCATTATGAGGCCTCCATTGGTGTTTTGGCATATCAGTGCCATCTGCTGGAAAGTTAGTATAGTTAAGTCTTCTAAATCCCAAAAGGGTTATCTTCTGGGGGAGGGCAGTAGGGAGTAAATGCGCTCTTTAAGGTAAAAAGCCTTATTTTTAAATACACAGCTGCTTAACTTCCACATCATTATCAATATAAACTGCAGTTAATTACAAAGCACTAAAATAAAGTCTAAAACGTTATTTGAAAAAAAAAAAAAGAACCTAAACATCTCTTTCTATTGGTTTATCTCGGTTGTTCTGCTCTATGTATGAAGCTCAATAGGCCTCAACTTGTTTCTGCGTCATCTGGACTCTTAAACCAATCTATGTAAGAAATATACATGCTAAGATGTAATATATACTGCACATATTTAAATAAAGCACACACATATGTTTCAGTACACGACAGTGTTAGTTGGGGAAGCGAGTAGACAGACGATATAAGATGGAATGAAAGCACGGCTTTCATCATCTCAAAGGGGCAACTGAAATAGACACAGATAAACAACATGACACACGTAGCTGTTAAAATTTTCTTGTAAGTAAAAATGGCACAAATATTCTAAATGACAATATAGAAACATGAAAGATTGCTTAACTGATTTTAATAACATGACATAAAGCCCCTACACTTGATATAATTGTTATGCAAAATACATAGATGAACACTGTCTTCTTTTAAAAATATAAAATAAATAAGCAAGACATGAAAATAGGCAAGTTTCCATTAAATAAATGAAAAATTTAAAAAAAGTTTTGCTTTCCATTTCATTTGAAGAAGGGAAATTATCATTTTAAACAATATTCCAAGTTTATTAAACAAATTAAAAAAAATTTTATAAAATGTTTAACTTTCATCAGCTTCAAGGTTTATGTTACTCCCAAATTTTGCATATAACTGAACTTTCAAATCTGCTAACACCCGCTGAATTGATTCCACTCTGGATTCTAAGGCGTCAATTTCTTCTTGCAAATTTTTCTGCAAAAAAAAAAAATTAGTTTAAATTAATTCTATTCAATTGGATGAATTCTGAGCATCTATGAATGAAATAACATCTGGTAAGGATTTTAGGTCAAACACTTCCTAAACTTGGACAGGCAGCTAAATAATACTGATAATTAAATCTAAACCAAAAGTCTGACTGTGGGCATGTTTCATTCATGATCTATATTTGTTTCTTATAGACTAAATCAAGCTTTTCTCAGTTCTGGCTGACTTGAAAGAACAGAATAAGATAAAATAGATTATCATATCCCAAAAAAGAAAGAATGCTATATAAACATATTAGGTAAACAGTTTACCCTGGGCCTGTCTTCTGACACAGCCTCTTTCAACTTCCCACAAAAATAACTACGGAACTAGAGGAAATGATAAAAATTCACACTCCCACCAATAATTTAAGAGTAACAACTTGTCAAAATCTGGAAGGTTTCCTAACGATGAGGCCCCTGGAGTTAGACTCTGAAAGAGCCATAATCAGAGTCTCATTTATGACAGAGAAGCTCTGCCACACGAAATGCACGGAATGTCAGAAATCCCTTCCTGGCCAGGATCAAAAGGATTTTTCCTAACTACGACAAAGAAAAAATGGATTCACACAAATAATACACATACCCGTTAACACCTGGAACAAAAGAAGAATGTCTAGTATCGGCAATGTTAACATGTTAGAAATCTGGCCAGCGGTTCTCAAAGCGGAGCCCCCAGGTCACCAGGGCGCCACTCCAGGCCTCGAGAATAAGGAATTCTTGGTGCTGGACTCAATAATCTGAATTTTTAACAAGCCCAAATGTTGTCAATGAATCCATACTCTGACCCAGTAACTACACTTCTCTGATTAGTTCCTTAAAGAAACTTCCTAAAGGTGACCAAAGATTTAATAAGAAAGTTCACCACAATATTCCTATAGTAGAAAAATAGTGAAAACAAATTACTGTAACGAGAGGACAGTGAGCTGAATCAATGTCCTCTAACAAGACATTAAACAGTCATCAAAAATGATGCTTTTGACGCACATGTGGCCCCAGCAGGCTCCTGGTGAAGACCTGCTGGATAAATGAACATTGAATGGAACAATAAAATACTCCCACTAGGATGTTAACTGACCAAAATGTGACGTAAAAATACATATAGGAAGAGAACATAAAAGAAACACATGAAACTGTTTGTCATGGATGATCACCTCTGGATAGTAGGATTACGAGTGGTCTTCTTTTTCTGTTTTATGATATTCTGTACTTTCTGAAAACTATAAATTTAGGCCACAGCTTCTGGGCTCAAAAGATCATCCCCTTTGTCATTCTGAGTGAGTCTCATAACCTAAGACTCTATTCTTCTTCAACTCTAAACTGGGATTCCCACAAATATGCCAGAGTCATCCTTGAGATTAAACAAAATCACATTTACAAGCATTCAGAGGAGGCCGAGGACATTGGAAGGACCCATGAAATGTAAGCTGGCATCCCTGATCTTGCCTACATCTATAATTACACGTTCTTTATGATGACATAAAATCCTAATTTAACAGTTAAACTTCCCCCTCCAGGGAGAGATTTCAACATACCTTGGCTTCTTCTAACATTTCTTGTGTTTCTTCTTGAGAATGACTAATGAAAACATCGCCGATCTGATAAGGTACCATTAAGCAGTCGTCATCTGCAAGCATGATGTCCTCACAGGCATCTTCTAAGTTCTGTAGTTGTTTCTGTATATCAGAAGTGAACAGCAATGAAAAATGCATTCAAAATTCTCTGAGGGTAAAATCCACGTGTTCTGGGACACCCGTGCTACGCTCTAAGAGACCCTTTCACAAAGGAACTGTCACACTGAAATAAGAGTGTCGTACATGTTTTAGATGGCGTTTCCCACGGGAGCACACGGGAGCACACTAACTCACTGCCCTCTGTACCGCTCCAGACTGCTCCACGGCCCCTGGAGCGGACCACGGGGTATCCACGGCCACTCGGAAGGTCTCCTGCTTTGCTTTTCTCCTTGGGAATTCTGCCTTCCAACAGCAGAATAAAAACACAAACACAAACTCGCCTTTCTCAGCTCTGCTCGATACAAGCAAATAATAACATAAATTCCCCTAATCAATGACATTTGACCTGGCCTCCAGCCCAGGAGAGCTGCCATGAGAAGTGGGCTCTGACACGCAGGCCTGGGGTGGGCAGCGGCCCAGAGTCCCAAGGACCGCCTGGCAGAATTCTCCCCAAGGAGGGCGCAGCCAGCCCTGCATCAGCGGTGAAGCAGCAGCCCCATCACCGGCCCAGGCCTCTGCCACGTGACTCCGAGACCTGCTCCTCGACCCTCAGCCAGAGGGCACGCCCCTCAACAATGGGCCCGCGCCCACCTTCCTCAACTAACATCTTCCTTCTTAAACTAACTGGAGTGTATCATGTGACTCGCAACGGGGAGCCCGAGAGCGCTACAATCACACAGGACTGCATTTAGTTACAAAAAGCTACAGGAGGAAGAGCTTTCATGTTTCTTAAATAAGATCCAGTTTCAATACCTTTTTTACTTCTATTTCTTCCTTCAGCTCTGTGATTCTACTTGTATTCCGTGCAAATTTGTTTATCTTTTGTTGATCTTCAAAAGTGACATTGACATCTTCTGCAGCCTGAGAAAACATTGAAATGTTTTGTAGAATTAATCTGAATGAAGAGGTTAGAGGCTAGCTTTTAGCAGAACTCTGAAATATCTCGATAAACTGCTTGTCCTCAGAGTCCAGGACCACGAGAGGCAGAGACTGTCACAGACACAGGCCCTACCAAGCTGCAGAACCACAGGCTTAAGATGCTTCATTAGACCTATAACCTCTCCGGATAGGCTATGGAATGCCAAATCCACAAAGACATTTCAAACATAAACAACAATTGAGAATAAATCCTGGATCAAGTCAGTCAACTTTTGGCCTGGAGCAGAATTTCTCAAGCTGGAACATTCCTTCATCAGGATAATCCAGGGAGCAAACTGATGTGCTTGTTAATTTTGGTAAATGCCTCAGACTAGTTTATTCTCTAAGAGTAAAAAGCTGCTCAAGCTTACTGAGGTTATCAGAAGTCTGACCGTTTCCACAATATTTTAGAATTTATTTTTAATTGGAAGATAATTGCTTTACTTTGGCCACCTGATGCAAAGAGCTGACTCATTGGAAAAGGCCCTGGTGCTGGGAAAGATTGAGAGCAAGAGAAGGGGGCAACAGAAGATGAGATGGTTCCAACAATCTCAATGGACATGAGTCTGAGCAAACTCCAGGAGCTAATGAAGGACAGGAAAGCCTTGCGTGCTGCAGCTGGTGGGGTGGCAGAGTCGGACATGATTTAGTGACTGAACACCACCAACAGCTGCTTTACAAGGTTGTGCTGGCTTCTGCTGCACAACCTGAATCAGCCACAAGCACACAGACGCCCCCTCCCCGTGAACCTCCCCCTCCCGCCTCCCCACCCCACCCACCCCTCCAGGCTGGCAAGGAGCACCAGGGTGAGCTCCCTCATTTCTGTAATTTTTAATCTGACTGATACACTGGCATGAGGGTCACTATACCTTTCAGTGACTATATTCCACACACACACAGTAAAAGTTTACGTTTGCTTTAATGTAGAACTTACGTGTCTTCACTATGAATAAGGTGTAATTCACTGTAAAATGAAAAAAATTGAATGCAGAGTTCCCAAGAAGCAAGGAGAGATAAGAAAGCCTTCCTCAGTGATCAATGCAAAGAAACAGAGGAAAACAACAGAATGGGAAAGACTAGAGATTTCTTCAAGAAAACCAGAGATACTAAGGGAACATTTCATGCAAAGATGGGTTCGATAAAGGACAGAAATGGTAGGGATCTAACAGAAGCAGAAGATACTAAGAAGAGGTGGCAAGAATACACAGAACTGCACAAAAAAGATCTTCATGACCCAGGTAATCATGATGGTGTGATCACTCCCCTAGAGCCAGACATCCTGGAATGTGAAGTCAAGGGGGCCTTAGGAAGCATCACTAAGAACAAAGCTAGTGGAGATGATGTAATTCCAGCTGAGCTATTTCAAATCCTGAAAGATGATGCTGTGAAAATGCTGCACTCAACATGACAGCAAATTTGGAAAACTCAGCAGTGGCCACAGGACTGGAAAAGGTCAGTTTTCATTCCAATCCCAAAGAAAGGCAATGCCAAAGAATGCTCAAACTACCACACAATTGCACTCATCTCATATGCTAGTAAAATAATGCTCAAAATTCTCCAAGCCAGGCTTCAGCAATACGTGAACTGTAAACTACAGATGTTCAAGCTGGATTTAGAAAAGGCAGAGGAACCAGATCAATCTGCTAACATCCACTGGATCATCGAAAAAGTGAGAGAATTCCAGAAAAACATCTACTTCTGCATTATTGACTATGCCAAAGCATTTGACTGTGTGGATCACAAGAAACTGTGGAAAATTCTTCAAGAGATGGGAATACCAGNAAGGAGATCAGTCCTGGGTGTTCATTGGAAGGACTGATGTTGAAGCTGAAACTCCAGTACTTTGACCACCTGATGGGAAGAGCTGACTCATTTGAAAAGACCCTGATGCTGGGAAAGATTGAAGGTGGGAGAAGGGGACGACAGAGGATGAGATGGTTGGATGGCATCACCAACTCAATGGACATGAGTCTGGGTAAACTCCAGGAGTTGGTGATGAACAGGGAGGCCTGGCAAGCTACAGTCCATGGGGTCAAAGAGTTGCGACTGAGCGACTGAACTGATATGACTAATGTGGTTAAATCAGTAAATAAAATTAGACAGCTTACATGACAAAGTATGGACTCATATCAGTAATAGCTAACGTTCACTGGAAAAGGAAATGGCAACCCACTCCATTATTCTTGCCTGGGAAATCCCACGGACAGAGGAGACTGGTGAGTCCATGGGGTGGCAGAGAGTCAGACATGACTGAGTGACCAAACGGCAACATTCACTGAGCACTTACTGCATGCCCAGGGCTTTCTAAGTACTTTATTACTGCTACTGATCCCCCACGGAGAAGGCACCCAGTACTCTTGCCTGGAAAACCCCATGGACGGAGGAGCCTGGTGGGCTGCAGTCCATGTGGTCGCTAAGAGTCGGACACGACGGAGTGACTTCACTTTCACTTTTCGCTTTCCTGCATTAGAGAAGGAAATGGCAACGCACTCCCGTGTTCTTGCCTGGAGAGTCCCAGGGACGGGGGAACATGGTGGGCTGCCGTCTTCGGGGTCGCGCAGGGTCGGACACGACTGTGGCGACTTAGCAGCAGCAGCTAATCCCCCAATCAGCCTCAGTAAGCAGGATCATCAGCACCACTGTTCTACAGGAAGTGTGGCAGAGAGAGGGTGAGGAATTTGCCCAAAGCCACACAGACAGCCAGGGGCAGAGCTCGGGGTCTGGCTCCAGAGCCAGAGAGATCCACGAGCACGTGGAAATTAAAGGCAGAGTGTGTGTGTCTGCAAGTGTGTGCTTCACACATGCGATCACACGTATCTAGAAGGAGCAGGGAGTCCTTGGCTTCAGATTTTCAAAGGGGGACTAGCTTTTTTTGTTTGTTTCCTTCCCCTTTTCACTTTTCTGTTTTAAATTTTAATTTTATTAAATAAAAAATTGTTTTAATTTTCTTTTATATTGGAGGATAGTCAAGTGATTAATGAGGGACCACATATTTTTTAAAAAATCTTTTAAATAACAGACTTCCTTAGAGTTTCCCCTCACTTAAAAGACAGGAACAAGGGCACATGGTTACAATTTAAAGGAGGAAAGAGACAGACAGCTTCAACAAGGACTACTGTAGGCTCCATTACCAGTAACAATAATGGTTCACAATAACCACCCCACACCCTATCTTTTCACCTGCTCTCTCAGGACCAGTGACTTTTATTGCTTTCATTTGACAGGCAACCTGTTGTCTCAAGGAGTAGGGAGCTTAGTGGTCAGAACATACACGCAGACACCTAGAATTCAGCCCTCCCCTGACCCAGGCTCCCATCACCCAATAAAGATGCATCAGCCTCATCAGAGACCCAGTAGCTATCTTGGGAAAAAAGTCCTTTACAATGGGATATACATATAGCTTTGAATGTTCAACCTGGTGCATGCATAACTTTTATGAATACGAAGTTGGGACACACTTCGCTATACAATACAGATGCTAAAGTGAAGGCCACACACAGATGCGCCGGCATTCACGTCATCTCCCCGCACAGAAGTCTCAGCTCCCTCCCGTATATACCATTAGATAACCAGAGGGAATTTCTGTATGATGCAGGGAGCTCACACCCGGGGCTCTGTGACAACCTAGAGGGACGGGACGGGATGGGATGGGAGCGGGGAGGGAGGTTCCAAGCAGGAGGGGACATGTGTATACCTGTGGCTGATTTATGCTGATGTATGGCAGAAACCATCACAATATTGTAAAGCAATTATCTTCCAATTAAAAATAAATAAATTTAAATTAAAAAAAAAAGAAGTTTCAACTCTCTAAGCCAACAGGGAACAGAGAATTCTAGACTCCCACTCCTGCTGAATTTAAATACTGAGTCTTCAGAAGCCTGCACATGCATTCACAGATCACCTGACATGGGAAGGCTTCCTGGCTAATCCCCGGGAAGCCCAGCCCAGGGCTCACGGGGAACACAGCTGGGGCTTCGTGCACTGTTTCTGAGCCTGCAGCTGAAGCATGTTCAGTCAGACTCACTGACGAGGGCTTTCTGAAAAGCTGCAGTCTGGCCACCTGCCTTCTATCTTTCCACAGCAGGTGGTTCCTGCTGTAGCCTCGCCGAGCAGCAGCCCCCAGCACAGGGGACCCTGTGGCTCATTCTGTAACCGTGGTTCTCTCCCTGGGGTTAAGGGCTGAAGCCGGGGTGTGAGGCCAACACCCACTGCCTAACCCGCGGTGGAAAGAGGCAAGTCAGCGCCATCCCCGACTGCAGCTCCCGTTTCCACCTCGCTGACCTAGGACGCTCCTCTGCTGCTGGAGGCTCCATTTTGGCAGGGAGGGCGTAATTCTGAGCTGGGGGTGCAGCCCGAGAGAGGTCCACCTACTCCCCGACACCCTGTGCAACGTGCTGTGTTAGGTGTGCATCCTTCCGGAAGGCTCTTCGTGGCTTTCACCCGTTCTTAAAGGGACCCATGTCCCGAAAGGTCAGGAGAAAAGACAGATGCAGCTACTTCCATTCACAAAGCCAAAATAACTCGAGGAGGAAGGAGACTTTGGTAGTACTGGAGCTGTCAGAGAGTGGAGGACAGCAAGAGTGGATTCAAATCCAAGCAAGCAGGAACCACGGGCAACTCACCCAGTTCTCTGGAGACACCTCGGCTTTGTCATCTGTAAAGCGGGGAAGCTATCCCCACCTTCCAGAAGAGATAAAAATGAGCACCCAGCAACAGGCCTGGGGATGGAGTCACCTTTCAGTAAACGACAGCTAAGTGCTTTATTTTCTGAATAGTTTGCCAAAAGTCATTACAAAGAACAGACCCAGGTCTAGAAGAAAATTCTGCTAGGCCTAAGAGAAATGAGACTGCTCAAGATTTCAGGTGAAAATTAAAATCCCCACACTACAACTGCACCCTTCCCGGGAGCATCAGCCTCTCCTGGGACCCTGAGAGGAAGGGACTCACCCTCAGTCATGCTCACACTGAGTCTGGGACCACATCACGAGCAGGCTGGACCCACAGCTGGGCCCCCAGGATTCTAAACATCCTATAGCAAAACTCTGGCTAATTTTAATCTGTTTTAATTTTTGTTTATTAAAGGTTGTCTACCCACTTTTTACAATACAAATTTTCTTTTCATCTTTCATATGAACCGTCAGTCATTAATTTAGCATTTCCTAAGCACAAGGAGGGCTTCCCTGGAGCCTCAGGGGTAAAGAATCCGCCTGCCAATGCAGGAGATCTGGGTTCCATTCCTGGGTCAGGAAGATCCCCTGGAGTGGGGAATGGCAGCCCACTCCGGTATTCTTGCCTGGGAAATCCCACGGACAGAGGAGCCTGGCGGGCTACAGTCCATGGGGTCTCCAAGAGACGGACATGACTCAGCAACAGAGCAATGTGAGTTCCCCCTCATGAGCACTGGCATGCTTACATTCTAGTAGAAGAGCTAAGTAAAAAGTAAGAGTTTTTGCTGGTTAGTGATAGGTGTGACAGTGAAAGCAAAATAGTTTAATAAGAGGTGGAAGTGCTGGAGGGCTTCTTTGAAATGTCAAAGGTGGCTTCTCTGAGGAAGAGACATTTGCCCTCAGGATGTATAAACAAAAATCAAACTGTAGTCCCCACCCAGGCCAAGAACCAGGTCTGAGAAAGGAGAACTTTGGAGATGTTAAGACTGAATCATCATCTCATCTTAACTTCTCACCATAAAAAGTCATGACCCAGTGGATGTTACACATGCTCAGTGTAAAGCACTCCAGACTGCAAAGAGCTCTTCTTAAACTCCGGGGGCTGTCCTATGATATTTTGTTCTCACCCTTTGGGCACGCATCTGTCTTCTCTGAGAGTCAGCAGAGAGGAAGACGCGCATGTCGCTAACCTATTAGAAACTGCCCACAGTGCCAGAAACACCTACAGGAAGACGCTGCGCCTACGAGGCCTTCCTAAGATAAAGAAGACAGCCTTGTGTTTGGGCCGTCACCTTCCCCGGCAAAGCCCTCTGCCACCATGGCCCCAGTCCCTTCCTCCTGGCCATCTTTTCACCGAGCGCACCCAGGCCTCTGCAGGAGGCACTCCCAGCCTTCTCTTGCCCTCCTCGGGGAATCTGGTAGACCACATCTTCTCAGGAAAGCTCTCTGACCTCAAGAAAGACCTATTCCAGCCCTCATTTCACAAGCCCCTTTCTTTCATAGTTCTTCTCAGAGTTGCAAATTCAACACCTTTCTCTGTGACAGCTGATTAACACCTGCCTTTCCCCAAGGGTGTCAGTTCTACAAAGCTACGAGGAAAAGGAGATAAAAAGTTCGTTACTAGGCCTTCCCAGGTGGCTCACTGGTAAAGAATCCACCTGCCAATGCAGGAGACACAGGCTCGACCCCTGGTCCAGGAAGATCGCACGTGCCTCGAAGCAACTCAGCCCGCTGGCCACAACTACTGAGCCTGTGCCCTGGAGCCCAGGAGCCACAGCTACTGAGACCGCGTGCCGCAGCTACTGAAGCCCCAAGATTTTAGAGCGGGTGTCCCACAGCGCGAAAAAAGCCGCGGCGATGAGAAACCAGGCGCTGCCAGAGAGAGCAGCCCCGCTACTCTCTGCAGCTAGATTAAAGTCCACTCAGCGAGGAAGACCCCGCACAGTCAACGGAATAAAGAAACTTCATTACTGCTCATCAGTCTCATCTCCGTCACCTCAAACAGAAAACGTGCCACTGACCACGCTCAGAGAGTCTATCACATGAATGAAAGGAAAATGCTGTTCCCCAGAACTTCTGCCATGAAGCCCAAGGTTCAAATCATTCTTTGACCATTTCCTCAGTGTTTACTTATTTTTTTTTGTACTTCAGTTTCTACATCTGTCAAAAGAGGGTGAACCACAACTACTACCTTCCATGGAGTTAAAGGTCATACGTGACAGCGGGCTCAATATAAACAGAAAACAGAGGCCAAATGAATCTCGCTCATTTCTCAATCACCAAGGCCCTAAACTCTACTCTGGAACCCCACAAGAATTTGTGGATGACATACCAGTAGAAGGAGTGACTCGATTTGGTTTGCCTGGAGGTGTCCCAGTTTCAGCCACCCCTCCGGCTCGGGCAAACCTGAATGGTCACCCCACAGCCACAGCAGGTGGCTAAAGGCTGTGAGGTGGTGTGGAGCCGAACACAATGGAAGCACATTACCACGCGGCCTCGGAAGGGGACTGAAGGAAAAAGACAAAACCTACGGAGCCAATGCCTTCTGCCAGCGGACTCTCATCAGACACCATGGAAGTTAAACACAGACTCTGGAGGCAGAGCTTCCATCTTTATTTATTTCAACCCTAACTTTGCCTCTGTGGTTCAGGTTCTTCATTTGTAAAATAAAAATAAACGCAGCATGACCCTAAAAGGAGTCGAGGATTAAAATGCCGTACGGAATGTGCTTGGTACGGAATGTGCTTGGATCGGCGCATAGTACAGCCTCAAAAGCATCAGACGCTCTCATCGCCTTGCCCCTCTCCGCGTTAATTTCTTTCTATGCAGGAATCAAGTATCGGTAGCCTCACCAAGCGATAAGCCCTGAAGAGGCGCTTTGCTTGCTCAGTAGGATAAAATGTGGACTTTGGGGAAAGACAAAATTAAACCTGGGTGTGCACTCGGGTTCTGCTTATTAGCTGAGTCACCGGGAAGCCGCTCACAGCTCTCCTTCTCCGTCCGTCCCCGGCTAGACTGGAGGGAGCAGAGAGAACAAGCAGGCGGCTCCGGGCGCCGCGAGCCCTCGGTGCGGGCGGCCCGGCCTGCAGGGCGCGGGCGGGGACACCGGACTCGCTCGCCCTCGGCCCGGACCCGCGGCGGACGCAGCGCCGGCTCCACATCCCCCCGACCGGGCCTCCGGCCGGCGGCTTCTCGCGCCCGGGCTCGGGGTGACCTGCAACCGGGAAGGACTTGGTACGCGCCAATTAAAGGGGCAGGCACGCCTGTGGGCCGACAGAAACCGCGCGCGGCGCGGCTGCGTCGCGGGCGGCGGGCAGCAGGGGGCGCCGAGCGCGGGTCCGGGCAGCCGCCTCCCTGAAGAGCGCGCGGCGACGCGGGGAGGGGCCTGCCCTGCCGGGCTTCATTCATTCTGCGCTGACTATCCGCGCACACGCTTGCCTCCCGATTCTTCGTTGTCTTTTTTTTTTTGTCTTTACACTCTTAAAAGTCACTGAGGACCCCAGAGAACTTCTGTTCTATATTCATCGATGTTTACCACATCAAAAATGAAAACAATTTTTGAATGTACTTATTAATTTAAAATAGTAAAACATTCCTTCCCTATGTATTATAAGCAACACTTTAAAATAACTATTTTCCAAGACCAAAAAAAAAGAAATATTGAGAATAATGGCATAATTATACATTCTTGCAAATCTCTTTAACGGCTGGCAATGGTTCTCACACCTGCCTCTTTATTCGCTTCCTGGCAATATGCTGTTTAATTGACACAGATGAAGAAAACCTGATCTCACATAGGTATGAAGTTAAAAAAGGAGGCCCTCCGGAGATCCCCTGAAAAAATCTCAAGGACAAGTTTGACAATTGCTCTGGACAAGTGTCATTTCTCGAAGCCCCAGTTTCCTCTTTGGGAAATGGGGATTTGGGCTAAGTCGCTTCAGTCGTGTCCGACTCTTCAGGACACCGTGGACTGTGGCCACCAGGCGCCCCTGTCCGCGGGATTCTCCAGGCAAGGACGCCGGAGCGGGCTGCCATGCGCTCCTCCGGGGGAGAAGGGGACAAGGATGCCCCATGGCACCGCCTGCTTCCCCACCACGGCGCTCGGCCCCGCGTGGCGCTGCCCCTCCGCCGCGGCCCGGCCCCGGGTCTCGGCCCCGCGTGGCGCTGCCCCTCCGCCGCGGCCCGGCCCCGGGTCTCGGCCCCGCGTGGCGCTGCCCCTCCGCCGCGGCCCGGCCCCAGATCCAAGCCTTTTGCACTGGGTCTTCCCCGTACACAGCTCATGTGCTCTCAGTATATATTTGCTGAATGAAGTTTTTGTTTTTTCAGGGTTAAATCTCTTCACAGGATCTGGCCTGTATTGGACTCTCCATCAATGACACGCATTCATTTAAAAGTTCCTTAACTAGCAACATTTAAAGGTGTTGCAGAAACAGACAGTGGAGGGGGAGATAAAACATACAAGGGTAATATCAGGACTTCTCTGGTGGCCCAGTGGCTAAGACTTTGCCTTCCAATGGGAGAGGTTCGGGGTTTGATCCCTGTGGGGCAGCTAAAATCCCACACGCCTCAAACCAAAACATAAAACATAAGCAATATTGTAACAAATTCAATAAAGGCTTTAAAAATGCTTCAAATCAAAAAAGAAAGCAAAGTCATTACAAATGGTGCCGAGTGAGGGGCTGAGACAGAGAACAGAAGCAAATGATCAGAAGGGGGTCTCTGGAGGTGGCCGTTGAAAATGAGGAAAAGATGAAAACTGACTTTATTTTCTTGGGCTCCAAAATCATTGCAGACAGTGACTGCAGCCAGGAAATTAAAAGACACCTGCTCCTTGGAAGAAAAGTTATGACAAACCTAAACAGCATATTAAAAAGCAGAGACATCACTTTGCCAACAAAGGTCCATATAGTCAAAGCTATGGTTTTTCCAGTGGTCATGTATGGATATGAGAGTTGGACCATAAAGAAGACTGAGCACCAAGGAATTGATGCTTTTGAACTGTGATGTTAGAGAAGACTCTTGAGAGTTCCGTTGGACAGCAAGGAGACCAAACCAGTCAATCGTAAAAGAAATCAACTCTGAATATTCATTGGAAGGATTGATGCTGAAGCTCCAATACATTGGCCACCTGATGCGAAGAACTGACTCGTTGGAGAAGACTGTGATGGTGGGACAGATTGAAGGCGGAAGGAGAAGGGGAGGACAGAGGATGAGATGGTTGGATGGTATCACTGACTCAATGGACATGAGTTTGAGCAAACTCCAGGAGATAATGAAGGACAGGGAAGCCTGGCATGCTTCAGTCCATGGGGTCGCAAGGAGTCAGACGTGACTGAGCGATTTTCACTACACCCACTTCAATCACTGGCCAAAAGCAACAGGATTAATGATTACCTTAAACAATGATGACTAATTCCTCGAGGCTGGAAATGTGGCTTCCTGAAAACAAAACTAGCCCAGGCTTCTGAACACTACGAAGAGGAAGAAGGGAGCGTTGTTGGGCCAGCAGCCTGCAGTCCTTTCCTGTTCGGTCATCAGGCATCACCTGGGGCCGTTCAGAGAGCCCAGGGCAGACCGGGGCTGGACAGGGTCTCAAGCCTTGGGAGAGCGTCATTTAACCTGGATGGGCGGTGGGCAGGCCCCCAGCCTTGGTGCTGAACTGGGCCCCTCTGGTTCGAGGTCTTTCTTCCCCTTCCATGTCTCACCACCCCTTTCCCCCTCGGCTCCCCGTTATCCTCCTTGATGTTGAGTATTTCCTACCTGTGCTTCTGTTTTTTTTCCCTCCAGCTTGAGACTGCCCCTATCTAGTTGGACCCACAGAAGAAGGAAACCTAGGGTCTAAATGGGGACAATCAGAGACTCCTGATCAGGAGGAAAATCCCAATAAGCTCTTGAAAATACTGTCCCCAGTGGATGAAGGAACACATGCCCTTATATTAGACAGAAAACTGGCCGCCCAGTGACCGCATGCAAGATATGCTTTGTTTGGGGTCCTTTTTTGACCCATACAGTATTTTTTTTAATTGAACCAATATTTGAAACAGGAGATTTCACTCAACAATATTCGAGTTTTTACAGAAACAGACTCACAGACTTAGAGAAAATTATGGTTAGTGGGGGAAGGATGAGAGGAAGAGATAGTTACAGAGTTTGGTTTGGACAGGGACACAAGGCTAGATTTAAAATGGATAACCAGCAAGGCCCTGCTGAGGCAGGAGGAGATGGGCCCCCAGGGTAAAGCAGTTGGAGCTTCCCACCCTGTGGTCTGAACCGCTGAGATAAGAATAGCAGGACTTGAAGGGAGGGGGCCTGCTGAGACCACCGACTTCTCCTCCAGGTTAGGAGACCTGGCCCACCACACATGCACAGAGAAGCTCCTCGGAGGCCAAGGGGAGTCAGTTAAGGGATGTTCTCTATCCACATGCTGTTCAGTAAAATCCATCTTGGCTAAGAGATGCATGCGCACCGGTGAGAGGATCCCCAGATATACCAAACACGAGCTGTGATCCAGGCAAGCCAAGGTGACTGGCCGAAGCAAACCCGGAGAAGTGCCCCGTGAAAGGGATTCAAACCGCCACGAGAGCGAGACTCGGGGCTGTCCCGTGTCTGTCCACACGGCTGCACTCTCTTTCCTCCTAATAAATACTTGACCTGCTTCACCGCTTTCCGTCTTTGTGGAGAGTCTTCTCTGCAAAGCCGAAGGCCCAGGGCCCTCGTCACTGGCCACTGGTCTAGGAACTGGTGCCTTCACCACGTCCACCAGCCTCCATCTGTGGCTGGGAACCCAAACCCGGCTCCAAGCCGCTGCAGGCGGAGGCCGCCCAATCACTGCTGCAGTGCCAAGAACTCCTCTCGAAACTATGTAACAACCTGACCCGGAGGAGAATTTGAAAAGGAAGAGATGAGTGTATATATATATATATAAAACTGAATCACTTTGCTGTACGCCTAAAACGATCACAATATTGCTAGCCTTATGTGTTCTATATAAGCTAAAAAGTTAAAACAATAATAATCATAGAGTTTTTATTTTGCTCTTGCTGGGGAAAGCAGCCCTGGTGAGCTGGCCTGCATTCTGCATGCCAGCCGCTGCTGGCACTGGTCCGACGCGGAACCCTTTGCTCACAGCCTTCCCCAGGGCGCCCGCAGGCCCCCGCCCGCCTCGTCTGGGTGCCTACCCGTCAGGCCCTCAGGTAGATGGCCTTTGCCACCGCCAGGCTTCCGTTCTAGCAGACATAAATGAGGGGTCTGTGTGTGCCTTTGCTGGCGATCTGTCCACACTAGATGCCATCGCAACAGGAAAGGTGAATCGGAGCAGGCGTCTCCGTCGGGGAGCCTCCGCGTCGGCACACGGAGATCGCCACAACCAGGGCCCCGCAGCTCAGCCCTGAGACCCCGTGAGGGGACCTGGCGAGGGAGAGGCTGTGTCTGGCTGGAGTCGCCAGTGAAGCCTCTAGAACTGATCAAGACAGGCAGGTGGCGGGCAGGGGGGCTACAGCCCTGAAAAATTAACAAAATTCCTCGTCCTATGCAGCTTGAAGTGAAAAAGTGAAAGTGTCAGTCGCTCCGTGGCGTCCAACTCTTTGTG